GGCATAACAAAGTTTATTAAGAAAATGTTTTGCATCCTACTTTGGTGAGTGGCGTCTGGGGTCTTAAAAGCTAGCAAGCAGCCATTTAACATGCATCAGTTGGTCCCAACTACCTGGAGTAAAGGAGAATGAAGAACACCAAAGACACAAGGAAAGTATTAGCCCAAGAGACAGAAAGGGCCACATAGACCAAAGACTTCATCAGCCTGAGACCAGAAGAACTAGATGGTGTCTGGCTACCACCAATGACCGCCGTGACAGGGAACACAACAGAGAGTCCCTGATGGAGCAGGGGAAGTGTGGGGTGCAGAACTCAAATTCTAGTAAAAAGACCAGACTTAATGGTCTGACCGAGACCGGAGGAATTCCAGAAAGCATGGCCTACAGACTCTCTGTCAACCCAGAACTAAAACAATTCCCGAGGCCTACTCTTCAGACACAGATTGTACTGGACCGTGGGACATAAAATGATACTCGTGAAGAGTGTGCTTCTTAGCTCAAGTAGATGCATGAGACTAAATGGTCAGCTTCTGTCCGGAGGTGAGATGAGAAGGCAGAAGGGGTTAGGAGCTGACTGAATGGACATGGGAAATCAGGGTGGAAAGGAGGAGTGTGCTGTCACAGTATAGGGAAAGCAATTAGGGTCACATAACAATGTATGTATAAATGTTTGTATGAGAGACTAACTTGAATTGTAAACTTTCACTTAAACTACAACAATAAAAAAAAAAAAGAAGAAGAAGAAGAAGGAAAAAAAAATGTTTTGTGTTGGCTGGTAGTAGCTGAGCAAGGCATGGCCCTCCAAGGGCACTTAGCTTTTCTCTTCTTAAAGATTCTTTTCACTTTCTTCCCTCCTCTTATATTTGAATGACCAATGACAAGGTCTTATATAGGAAAGTTGGTATATTAGCCTCTTCGCTTGAATATTAAATGTTTCCAGTGTTCTGCTGGTTATCTGAAACACTAGAGGTTTCACAACGGTTAAGTGCTCAGCTGCTAACCGAAATGTTGGCAGTTCAAACCCAGCCAGCGGCTCCACAGTAGAAAGACCTGGCACTACGCTCCCTTAAAAATTACAGCCAACAAAACCCTATAGGGCAGTTCTACTCTGTCACATGGGATCGCTATGAGTGGAAAACAGACTAAATGGCACCCAACAAAAACAAGAGTTCGAAAGACTGCATTCTAGTCAGAGTTTTGCTACTTACTACTTTAGGAAGTTAACTCTTACTAGAGACCAAGGAGTAATCCAAAAAAACCCGTTGTCATCAAGTCCATACCGACTCCCAGCTACCCTCAAGGACAGAGTAGAGCCGCCCCATAGGGTTTCCAAGGAGCGGCCGGTGGGTTCAAACTGCCGCCTTTTTGGTTAGCAGCCGAGCTCTTAACCACTGCTCCACCAGGATTCCTAAAGCAAATCACTACATCCATCTGGGTGAGTTTTCTCAGCTGTAAAGTTAAATAACAGGGCCCTCCCTCGGCTATTTTACTGAGTAAAGGGAATCACAGGAGAGAACACGGAGGGTAGGCAATTTTAAAACGTAACGGCGCTCAACAATAGGACCGCCTATAAGTTACTCTGGAGTGAGGAGGTGGAGACTAGGGCGCAGCGCTCCAGGGTCTCCAGTGCTCCACGTTCCAGAGGAGGGGAGGTCCCAAAAGCTCCCAAAGCGCATGGGTCCACCGAGGAGCTCGGTTTACTGTACGCTGCCTCCTGCCAAACCCGCAGTGTTTACCAGAATCCGGGTGGTTTGCAAACCCAGATATCAAACTTGCTGTCCCAGGGATTCTCAACTCGCTCACCCTCAACTCCTCTTTAGCCTCCCCAAGGAAGAGCAGGGCAGGAGGCGGGAGGAGCATGCTCCGGCCAGCCTCACCCCTCCTCTCTCTCCACCCCGAAGGCAGGAATTTATGGGACGGGCAGATGGTCCACCCCCTCGTCCTCCTCCTTCCCCAAGGCCGAGTGGGTAGGGCGGAGAAAACATCCGCGACTTTCGCGTCTCCCAGCCTGGAGCCCCTGAGTGTCCGCTCGCTGTGGTGGCAGAGGTGGCGGAGTGGGTCTCCGGGGCGCTGGGGTGGCGAGCACCCCGGGAGGGGCGGAGCTCGGAGAGGGCCCCCGCGGGTGCGCTGAGAGGCGCGCTGCTAGCCTAGTAGTTAGCTATGCTGCTGCTGCCGCCGCCGCTGCTGCTGCTTCTGCTGCTGAGGGCGCCATGGGGGTGCAGCGAGGGCGCGGCGGCGGCGCTCACCCCAGAGCGGGTCCTCGAGTGGCAAGGTGAGTGTCCCCCGGGGCGGGGGACCGGATTGGCACTCGGGGGCGGGAGTCAAGGGAGCTGGAGGACGGCGAGGCTGAGAGTGGGCGAGAGAGGGTAGGGCAGCCGTGTACGTATTGAGGCCACGTCTCTGCAGTCACAGGAAAGCCTTGAGAATGGGTCAGTCCTGCAGCCAGACCGGCCCTGCGCCCCCCTCTCTGGACCCCTCAAGTCCCTCAGGTTCAAAAATCGGAGTAATAGTACTTACGCAAGTGCCGAGTGGGGCGCGGCGAGGGGCGAGGCCTGGGCTCCCGGGCAACTTCGACTCTGCTCTGGCCCCGGCCTGGGGCACCCGAGATAAGCTAGAGATAGGAGGTAAGAGACTTTTCAAAGTGTAAACTTTCCGAGTGTTGCTTATTTGGCAGGGCCACCTCATGGATATTGCTACGTTGTTAGGTGCCGTCCAGGCGGTTCCGACTCATAGCGACCCTATGTGCAACAGAACGAAACACTGCCCGGTCCTGCTAAAAGATGATAAAAAGATGTCCCGTTTCGTCCCCTACCTAAAGAACTGCCCTAGGTGTGCGCTGCCACCTGCGGAGTGTCACCAAGCCAGGCCGCCCCTCCTCCCCTGCGCGAAGGGAAACTTACTTCTCTCCGTGAATGCCTCTCAGAGCCCTTGTGCCCCAGATGAGCTGTGTGACCTGGAGCAAATGGCCTTCTTTGTTTCTCAGTTTCCCTCATCAGTAAAATGGGGTCTATGATGTCCATAGGACCTCTGAGGATTAAATGAATCGTTTCTAAAGACATGGGACACACCTGGTCCTTTGGCCATTGCGACCTTTCCTTCAGAGTTACATCCTACACCAATTCAGCAAGTGTTTATTGAGTACCTTACACATAAAACAAAGAAAGGGACGTGTAAAGAGAAGTGAGGGGGGCGGTTTCTGTCCTCCAAGGCCCACATTCTTGAATAACTGTATAGGCTGCCGCTAAGAAGCCAGGGTCCAAATAGAAGCCTATATGTAGAGGCAGGAGGGAGGTGTTGTTAGTTGCCAGTGGAGTCCCTTCCTACTCACGATGACCCCATGGGTCCGGGTGGCACAAACAGTTAAGCGCTCAACTACTGGCCAAAAGGTTGGCAGTTCAAACTCACCTGGAGGTGCCTTGAAAGACAGGCCTGGCAATCTGCTTCTGAAAGGTAACAGCCTTGAAAACCCAAGGGAGTAGTTCTAGTCTGCACACATGGGATCACGATGAGGAGGAAGGTAGGGTGAAGTTAATAAAGGAGAAGGAGCCTCCAGGCAGCCTCCATCCCCTGCCACTGAGGATACATTTGGAAAGAAGGGGTTAACAAAGGTGCGATCAATGTCTGCCATACAGTTTTTCCACCACAACATACCATGTATACATTTTTGAGGTAATACTTTCTGGATCATATTCTCTAGCACTCCCAGGAGCCCTTATCAGGGACAGATTGAGCAACAAAATCATTCTTATGCTAAGGTGGCCAAAGGTCAGAGGCTCTTACATTCTTGGTGCCCTGTCAGTCAATTCAGTAAAATGGCTCCTGTGGATTCACCTGACATATCTGACCCAGAGAGATGTGGTCCATTCCTGGTAGCAATTTATCATGTGGTGGTTACACCTTTGCATTTTAAAATGTGGATTCTGCCTCAGCACTAGATGTCTAGAAGAGGGCAGCAGCCCGTAGCACAGAAGCTGGGACTGGGCCACACAGAGAGTGATCCTCTGAGCCAGGTTAGCCCTGACCAGCTCATCCCTTTCTATATGTAGCAGACCCAAATCCAGGCCTGAGGTAGTTTGTAATTGGTGCCTTCTTTTTAGTGGTCAAGGGCACTTGGAAATGAGAACCACCTGCTACCTCCTGTATCCTCCAGATGACAGTTGGCAAATCTGAAGGAATTTGACATAGTTGTCACAGAGTTTTTTTTAGTTATGAAAATGCTGCTACTGATGTTTTAAAGAACATGGAGATTGTGTGGCAATAAATAGCATTTAATGGTCATCGTCACACAGGCTCCCCTTCATGACCTCAGTCACCCATGTTAGTAGAATTTCAAGGGTAATCTACATGAGCTTGAAATCAAATTTTTCTTGTCTATACAAAGATGGAAAAAAACAAAAGCTTAGAGTTAGGAGAGACGTGAGATATTGTCTACTACAGCCATCCATTTTTCAGATGTGGAAGTTGAAGTACAGCTGCCATGTAGTTAGCCATCCTTTCAGATGCCTCAGTTTACCACATGGGTCACTTACCACAGAGACTCAATTTTAGCCATGATTGACAGCCACAGAGCAACAAGGAAAACAATGCGCACCCGTTTCTGTTTCATATCCACTAAAAAGAGATATGCAATAACGTGAGGCAGATTATACATATAGCATTTTTCTCCTGAATTGTTTGATATATACGACTGATTGATCTGATACATATTATAAGCATCCCAGCTTTGGAAGACAGATGATGAGTGATATTATGCTCACTTTTCAAACATTTATCAATAATTTTGTATTCAAAAATCAAGTGCAATGTCAAATAGTAGTTAAGTTCATGGGCTCTGGAGCCAGACTATCTGCGTTCAAATCCTGGCTCTGTCATTTACTAACTGTGTGACCTTGGGCAAATAACTTAACCTCTCTGTTCCTCAATTCCTTCATCTGCAAAAATGGAGTGAATAATAGTTCTTACCGAAGTGCCATTCCTTTTACTGAGATATCACCGTGGAGTCCCCTTTCCATGGCCAGTCCAGACCACCTTGACAAGTTGGCATTCCTCTAATAATTATTTACTGCCCTGTGCCTAACATCACATTTGGCGTGTCTGTAGCCCATCTTCCACCTTTAGCTGGCTATACCAAGAGGCCTCAATGTGGTTTGCTTTCCCTAGTCTGGAATCTGAGCCTTTCTAGCAAGTGCTAAAATTTGATAACCTAACTCATTCAGGCACCCCAGATACTGGGAGGGCAGGGTTGAAAATGAAGAAAGTGGGGCATCTTGGTGAAACGTAGGCATAGTCTTATGGAGGATGCTAAAGGAAATTAACTGGAGGCAAGTAAAAGGATTTTGATGCTACTTTGAGGGCTGAAAATTATACATATGAAATGGCCCCAACCGACATAAGAGATTTTTCTCCCCACAACACCCAGCATCCAAGATACCAGTCCTTGGGCACTGTCAGCGTAGGTGCTTCTGAGTGACCAGGGACCTGGGGAAGTGAGGGTGCTGATGAGTGTGAGATCAAAGTGCTTGACCATGGAGTCCTATCTGAAGAGAAGAAAGTGAAGCCAGGGATTTCTTGATAATCTGTGATGGGAAGAGGGGCGAGGGGACTAAGGGCCTCAGTTGTTCATTCCCTATCTGTTGAGCACTGTGTGGTTTATCTTCCTGTCTTGGTTCAGGTTCACCCAAAAGCAATCTCTGAGACATGTATTTGCATGCAAGTAGATTATTTTGGACATGATTCGAGAGAGCACAGTGGGGGAATGAGGAAGTGAGACAGGGAAGGGAAGAAAGCCATGAAGGGAACTGGGGCTCAATTTCACAAGGGATCCTCTCAGGGACTGTAGAACATACTTCACCAGAAATAGAAACCTGGGATATTTATCCACCTTCTCCATCCTTATTGATTAAGGGTTTCTCCTAGGGCATTCACCCTTGGTGATTTTGGCCTGCCTGGAACACCCAGGCAATGAGACATAGAAAGTCAGTTGAGTCTATGGGAACTGTCTGCACATGAATGACCTCCAGGGTAGGGGATACAGGTAGGGAACCACCAGAATCTGCTATACCACCACCATCACCAGCTCCACTGTCATGCAGATTGGGGAGATAAAAATGTGTGTAAGGTATGCTACTATTCCCAAGAAGGTGATAATTCCATGACATACAGAAACAGAAACAATTACAGAACAGTGTGGTAGTTGTTATGATAACAAGGAATAAGCAAAGTGCTAAAGGGATGCAGAGGAGAGACTGGCCTGGGGAGTTGGAGACTCACAAACATGCATCTGAGTTGTCTTAAAGGACTCCTGGGTGGTGTAAACCATTAACCACTCGACTACTAGGCAAAAGGTTGGCAGTCCAAACCCACCCAAGGATGGCTTGGAAGACAGGCCTGACGATCTGCTTCCAAAAGGTCACAGCCTTGAAACCCTGATGGAACAGTTCTACTCTGCACACATGGGTTGCCATGAGTCAGAATCAATTTGATGGCAACTAACAATAACAACAAAGGCTAAGTAGGTATTTGCCATATGGGAAAAAAGAGATAGAACATTCCAGGGAAAGTACCAAATATGGTGCAAAGGCACAGAATCATGTGCTGGGCAACAGTAGAAGTTCAATGAGCTGAAATTTCAAATCTGGTCTCTTTGGGATGCAAGGAAAGAGGCCCACTGCAGCTCACTGAGGCAAACGTGAGGGTAGTGGTAAGGGTACTGGGATCTCAAGGGGACCCAATGACAGGTTCTCCTGTGCAACCATGCTGCTTGGGAACGGAGAACTGGCCCCTGGAACAAAGCAGCTACTTTCTCTGTTTCTCTCTCTCAGGTCCTACGTACTCAGTTCTCTTTTCTGTTGACTGGATTTCTCTGCTTTGAATTGCAGGACCTCTCATGGTAGTTCCCACAGCTTCCTGGAAGGAGTCCCTCAGTTTCCTAGGAGAAGAGTCTGGCCACACTGGTCACAGCATGCTGGCCAGTCCCCTGTGCTCTGCCCTTGAATCAAAGATAGTCCCATGGCTAGTTGGCCTTGGCAGGGGAAAGGAGCGGGCCGGTCATAGGGTTCTGCACATGGTGATGTTGCCTCATCAGAGGCTGTGACAGGCACATCTGCAGAGCAGGGTCATGGGCAGAGCAAGAAGCTGTGACATGTTTATATTTGGAGGCAGGGGAGAGCTGAGATAGTAAAGTGTTTGGCTGGATTCTGCTTTTGGAACAAGAATCTCGTCAGGCCGCTGAATCTGCTGGGGCTGCTGAAAAAGACTTCATTGGCCTTGTTA